GGTTGTTAACCATTGTCATAGGGCAATATGTGTACTGTTTAACGAGAAACTATTCCGCAAACCTTCATCTAAGGTACAAAAAAAAAAAAAAAACAGAATTATCTACGTGAGATCAAATTGACAACAGCAACTCAAAAGGTTTGATGGGAAGCCTAGGGGACAGTGAGTTGGAGATAATGATGATGGAATAATTTGGAAAAGGATAGTGAGAATAGCGGCACAATTGGAAGAATGTAATCGATGTCCTGAATTGTACACGTAAAAACTTTTGAAATGGTGTAACTTTGGCTATGTATATTTTCACCAAAAACAAGGTCCTCAAGGTTGAGAAGGGAGAGTGTTGACATGTAGTGGGGCTGTTAACCAATGTCATAAAACAATATGTATACTGACTGTTTAATGAGAAACTATTTGTTCTGTAAACCTTCATCTAAAGTACAATAAAAAAATTAAAAAAAAAAAAAGAGAGAGAGAAGCCTGTGGGGATATGTCATCAAATTCATGTGAAAGAAGGGAAGAAAGAGTCAGGAATGTAGTAGAGAAGTGAAACGTGGAATTAAAATTTTGAAATATATATATTTTATGAAATTTAATTATGGAAATTAAATTGCATATTCCAAAGCTTAGTAAGTCAGGGGTCAATTCTGGGAAGAGAACTCAATGCTGTACATGCAACCACTCTTCCCCAGGGGCTAAATGGATCTTTGGTTAAGCAATGTATATATATATAGAAAAGGCCAGTGCCCTTAGGAGATAAAGGCTTAATTCATGATAGTGGCCAGTGGCCAGTCCATGAAGCCCTGCATCTGCCCTGAATCATACTCCCTTAAGGCTGGATACCATAGCCATATATGGACCCTGATAGGAAAAGGAAGGAAGTATCTTTCTGGAGTCCCCATAAATACTGTAAATAGAATCCAGCCCATCTTACAAGTCAGTTTGAATTCAGAGGAAAGGATCTTTGTTTTGATAGGGGCCAACTAGGCCACAGAGAAGGAAACAGGTGCATAAGCACAGACAACATTTTCTGAAAGAACATTGCTTGGTTTTCCTTTTCTGTAGAAAAAAAGCCAGTGTTCTGTTGTGGTCTGCCTGCCTCTGTGAAGGCTTATATCATTTCAAAGGGACTCTTCTCTGACACTCACCCCATTATCATCCTTGTACTTAGTGACTCACTACAAATGAACTGGAATTCCCAGAGCTGTGCCTTTATCACTGCTGAGAGAGCAGAGCAGCTGTCACGTCGCTGTGGCTTCCTCTTCCCGGGCTTCTAGTCCTTTTATGAAGGTCATTCCTGTTATAGATGAACTTTTTATTGCTAACTGGAGACAATTAAGAGAGAAATTAACAAAAACAGTTACTGTGGAGTCGACTCCGACTCATGGCAGCCCCGTGTGTGGGAGTAGAACTGCGCCTTATAGTGTTTTCAATGACTAATTTTTCAGAAGTAGATCACCGGGCCTTTTTGGTGAGGCACCCGAGTGGACTCAAACTGTCAAACTTTTTGTTAGCAGCCGAGCATGTTAACCATTCATACCACTCAGGGACTCCAACAGAAGAATAGTTGATTTGAATAACTAATGCTTTGGTCAGGTCCTGTCCCCACAAACAGCCCAGTTCTGGAGAGTGTGGAAAGCCCCCTAGAACAGTAACAACACTGACAATACAAACAACAACTATCATTATTAATACCCTGAGAAATGGGATCAATACTACCCATATCTTAAGCCTTCTCCTGAAATTTTTAACATCTGATTTGGAAGCATATTTCTTATTCATTGACAAAAGACAGAGGGCAACTTTAGTAACATCTCTAAAGGCTTACAGAGAATGAAAGCAGAAATTGATTTGAATATTCTGCTATCCCACTTACCTCATAGTGTACAATTCTGCAACTGAGGCAAATATGGAAAAAAAGAAGAGGGAAATAGCCCCAAGAGCAAACTCCAGCCAAGGGCCATTTCTTCATAGCTTTCCCTCTGCATCACTTCAGGTTTGGGGCAATTTTTCAAACTGTGTCTAAGAAACATATCCTGGAGGATTAACAGTATCACTGATAAATCATGATAAGGGCAACTGCACTAACCACAAGGCATTATGAAATCAATGGTAAAGGAATTGGCCATTTTTTTCAAACATTTTATTTTGAGATAACTTTAGATTTACAAGCAGTTGTAAGAAATAATACAGAGGAGAGCAGAGCAAGGTGGTGAAGTGAGCAGACCCTCCTATTTACTCCCCATTGAATCATGAATAAAAACAAGGACAGCCTGAGATTTCAGAACTCCGGATGACAGCTGAGGTATTGGAGAGCTGAGGTGAGTCCAGAACTGGGGGAGCAGAAGCAGGGAAGGCACAAAAGCTGGGAGAATCTACATGCGAACATCAGGAATGCTCACTCATCACAGCCATTTTGGGACAGGGATGATGTCTTAGGCTAGGTTCTCTAGAGAAGCAAAACCAGTAAACCGTATAAATATATATATAGAGAGAGATTTATATCAAGGAAACGGCTCACGTGGTTGTAGAGACCGGAACGTCCCAAGCCCATGGATCAGGATAGAGGCTTCTCCTGATTCATGTAGCCACAGGGGCTGGCAAACCCAAGACTGGCAGGTGAGAGAGGAGGGCTCTTGCTCACAGGCTGTGAAGATCAACAAATCCCAGATTAGCAGGCAAGACTGAAGGTAAGCTGCTAGCTCAAGTCCCAAGAACTGGAGGTCAGACAAACAGGAGCCACCTGCAGGATCCAGAACAAGCAAAAGCCCTAGAGCCTTGCCAGAATGTTCGCTTATATTTCGATGCAGGCCACATGCCCAAGGAAACTCTCTTTTAACTGATTTGCTACTCACGGTAGATCCCGTCATGGAGGTGATCACATATTAAATCTCAATAGGTAAGTGATCAACTGCCAAAGCATGGAGAATCATGGCCTAGCCTAGCTGACACACAACCTTAACCATTACAGATGGGTAACACCCCAAACGGGACAAAGGAAGAGAGCTAATCTGAAGAAGCTGTAGCCCAATTTTTTTAAGGCGGCACAAATTGGCCATGAGAGGGGGTGAAGGGAAACTGTGATGCTGCAAGAGAGTGCTGTTGAATCTTGCTGAGGCCTGAAATGTACAGGCACTAGGATTAGGAGGAACTGCAAGGGCAGCAGGCTGAGGGGAATACTTTAGACTGACAAGCAACACAGAGGAAAATGGCCCACAGCAGGACACTGTGGGAGAGCTTGTGCAGGAGCACGTGTGAAGGAAAGACACAGCAAGTCTCCACCTTTGCCACAGGAAAAGTCAAGCCCCACCACTTACATCAGCTTCTGTGAGCAGCTAAACCCCCTTTCTACACATGTGCTTTGAATTCCAGAGACCAAGCATCCAGAACTCCCAAATCAGCACTGAAAAAAAACCTAAGGATAAGAGTGCCCTCTAGAGGTTCTCAGGGGAAAACACAAACCCCACTGCCGCTCAGTAGATTTTGACTTACGGAGACCCTGTGAGGCTGAGTAGAGCTACCCCATGGTAGCTCACAGGGCTGTGAGTCTTTGTAGAGGCAGGCTGATCCATCTTTCTCCCACAGAGCAGCTGGTAGGCCCCAATCTTTTTATTTGCAGCTTGGCTGCTGTGTCACCAGAGCACTCAATCAGAAAATTTTCCCACAAAATCCAGAATACAAAATTTAAACATTTCAAGACCCAACTGGAGCCCTGGTGGAGCAGTGGTCAAGAGCTATGGCTGCTAACCAAAAGGTTGGCCATTCGAGTCCACAGCCTCTCCTTGGAACATTATGAGGCAGTTATACTCTGTCCTATAGGTTCACTATGAGTCGGAATCAACACGAAGGCAATGGTTGTAGTTTTTTTTTAAGATCCAATTATTTTCTGCTTTGAATTTTTTATTGATACCATGTGTTTTCATTAATGAAGTGTATACTGAATCACTGAAGTGTGTTTGAATTTTTGGTAGGTACTATTTTTTTTTCCTTGCCTTAGCTCAGCAATACTACCTTCAGAGTCCAGAGGGACATATGTGTCCCACAAATTTTATCCCAGAGTCATTGGACATATGAGTTCCAAATAATTTTTATCAAAATCCATACTTTTCTCACCAAGAACATTGATCCAGCACCACCTCATACAATGCCCTGTAAAAACAGTAACTTGTGGCACATGTCCATTTTTCCCATTTTAAACTGTTATACAGGTCTCTGCTAGTACGCAGCACATTCTGTCTGTGGAAGAGTATATTCCCAATAAACCCTAGAGGCATAAAAATTATGTGGTCACTATATGTACCACAGGTCACGAAATAAAAAAAAAGAAAGATAACAAAATGGCCCAAGTTCAACAAAAAAATAGTAAAACACACGAAATCACAAGAGAAGAAGGATTAATCAAAATCAAAACATGAAGAAGAGGAAATTTCCCCTATAGAGGCCAGACTAATGCAAAGAATTGATAATTTTCAGACTATGGTGCTAAATATGTTTAAAGAAAGCAAAAGGCGCACAGGAAACAAAGTAGCAGAGATCAGGAAACAAATAGAGGAACAAAATGAGAAACTCAATGAGGAAACTGAAAACATAAAAAGAAAAACCAAAGAGAACTATTGGAACTGAAGAATAAAGCAACTAAATTAGAAAAAGCAACGGAAATACTCAACAAGAGTAAAAAAGACAGAAGACAGAATAAATGAACTAGAAGACAAAATTACTGAACTTATCAAGTCTCAAGAGAAACAAGAGAAAAATAAATAAAGAAAAGCAAACATACCCAGAAAGACACGTGGTATTCAATTAAGAACTTTAACATTAGATTTATTGGAATCCCAGAGCACCATGACAGCAATATAGGCACAGAAATAATTTTCCAAGAGACAATCTGAGAGAATTTCCCAGACTGGAACAGGTAACTAAGCCTGCAAATATAAGAAGCTACACCGGAGAGACACAAAAAGATCAACTCCATGCCATATCCTAATAAAATTCTTGAAAATCAAAGACAAGGAGAGAATTCTGAAAGCAGCAAGAGAAAAACACAATATAACATACCAAGGATCTTTTACAAGAATCAGTGTGGGTTTATCCCCAGAAACTCTAGAGGCCAGAAGACAATGGAGCAACATATATAAAATACTAAACAAAAACAATTGCCAACAAAAAATTCTTTATCCAGCAAAGCTGTCATTCAGAAATGATGGGGAAATCAAGACATTCCCAAACAAATGGAGTCTCTGGGAATTTTCAACTCCCTGGCCAGCTTTGCAAGTATTACTCAAAGGAGAACTCAAAATGGAAAGGTAAGAGCATTAAATAAATACTCATATCTATACATGGGGAAAAAATAAAATAAATAAATAACAGAGAGAGAGAAAGATCTCCAAAAAAATGCAATACCACAGGGAATCATAAGGACAAAGTATATGATATTTTCAGGGAATCAACTCAATAATTATACCCCCACAAACAATAACACATCAAGTTTGTAAGAAATAAGCACAAAGAAACTTATCAAATATAGATTGTATATTGATGTTAATGGAGACACATCAACAGAAATGGGGGAAGGAGGAACATATCAGAAATAGATTTATTATGTTAAGGTTGTATGTTAACTGTTGTTCATATGTTAAACACTGTTGCAATTGCAAGTTGTGTAATGGAATATATGTAGTAACGACTAAAAAATCACCAAGAAAAACCATTCAGAAGAAAACAAGTAATAAAACAAAAAGCCTCACCACAATAAAGCAGCCAAATACAAACAAAAACAGAAAAATCAGAATAAAAAAACAAAGAAGACATGAAACACTCAAAAAACAAGTAACAAAATGAGTAAGGTAGACACCTTGTTTTCAGCAATAACCTTAAATGTAAATGGTCTAAACTCCCCATTCAAAAGGCAGAGAGTGTCAGAATGGATTTAAAAAAAAAAACTATCATTTTACTGTCTACAAGAAACACATCTTAGACATAAGAACACAAACAGACTGAAAATAAAAGGATGGAGAAAAATATTCCATGCAACCTGTAAACAAAAAGATTAGGGGTGGACATTCTGATCAGACAAAATACATTTTAAATCAAAATCTATTACAAGAGATAACAACGGACATTACATAATAATAAGTTATAAATATATGCGCACCTAACAACAATGCACCAAAATACATGAAACAAATACTGACTAATAAGAAAGGAGAAATAGACGACTCCACAGTAATGGTAGCAGATTTCAACACACAACTTTCAATTATAGACAGAACATCTAGAAACAACATCAGTAAGGATATTGAGAACTTAAATAAAACCATAAGCCAATTGGACCTAACGGATGCATATAGAACACTTCACCCAGCATCAGAACAATACACATTCTTCTCTAGCACACATAGATCATTTTCCAGAACAGACCATATGCTAGGACACAAAATAAGTCTCAACGAATTTAAAAAGATTGAAATCATACAAAGCATCTTCTCTGACCATAATGGTATGAAGCTAGAAATCAACAACAGGAAAAATAAATAAATACATGGAAACTAAATAATATACTACTAAAAAACTATTGGGTCATGAAAGAAATGAAAAGTGAAATTAAAATATCCCTAGAAAAAATGAAAATAAAAGCACAACATATCAAACCTTTGGGAGACAGCAAAAGCAGTCCTTGGAGGGCAATTCATAACAATAAATGCCTACATTAAAAAAGATGAAAGATCCAAAATTATTTACTTGAACAAATATAAAAGGAAGAACAAAAGAAGCCAAAAGTTACCATAACAAAGGAAATAGTAAAGATCAGGGCAGAAATAAATGTAATATAAAATAGAAAAACAATAGAAAGAATTGACAAAACCAGAAGTTGGTTATTTGAAAGGATCAGTAAAATAGACAAATCACTGGCTAGATTAATAAAAGAAAAAAGCAAGAACAGGAAAATAACCAAATTAAGAAATGAAACTGGTGACGTTACAACTGATCCAACAGAGATAAAGAAGATCATAACTGATTACTATGAAAAATGGTACTCCAACAAATTTGAAAACATAGATGAAATGGACAAATTCCTAGAAACACACTACCTACCCAAACTGAGGTAGAAAATTTAAACAGACCCATTACAAAAGAAGAGACTGAAGATGCCATCAAAAAACTGCCAAAAAAAAAAAAAAAAGAATCCCAGGACTAGATGGCTACACTGGAGAATTCTATCAAACATTCAGAGAAGAGATGACACCAATCCTACTGAATCTCTTCAAAAACATAGAAGAGCAACGAACACTACTGAACTTTCTATAAACCCATCATAACCCTGATACCTAAACCAAGCAAAGACATCACAAAAATCTACAGACCAATATGCCTTATGAACATAGATGCAAAATTTTTCAACAAAACTCTAGCCAACAGAGTTCAGCAACGTATCAAAAAAATCATACACCATGATCAAGCAGGATTCATACCAGGATTACAAGGGTGGTTCAGTATAAGAAGGTCAATCAATGTAATCCACCACATACATAAAACAAAGAAAAGAACCATACGATCATATCAATTGATGCAGAAAAGGCATTCAATAAATTCAACACCCTTTCCTGATAAAAAGTCTCAGCAAAATAGGAATAGAAGGGAAAAGTCTCATCATAATTAACGGCATACATAAAAACAAACAGCCGTCATTATACTCAATGAAAAAAGGCTGAAACCTTTTCCTTTGAGAAGAGGAATGAGACAAGGATGCCCATTATCACCATGTTTACTCAACATTGTACTGGAAGTCCTAGCCAGAGCAATGAGACAAGAAAGAGAAATAAAAAGTATCCAAATCGGAAAGTGAAACTATCTCTATTTGCAGATGACATGATTCTATACATAGAAAACCCTAAAGATTCCACAAGAATACTGCTGGAACTAATAGAAAAAATTAGCAACATTGCAGGGTACAAATCAACACACAAAAATCAGTTGGGTTCCTCTACACTAACAAAGACTACTACGAAAAAGAAATCAAGAAAATGGTACCATTTACAATAGCTCCCAAACTGATAAAATACCTAGGAATTAACCTAACCAGGGATATAAAAGACTTCTACAGTGAAAATTATAAAACACTACTACGAGAGACTAAAAGGGACCTACAAAAATGGAAAGACATCTTGTGCTCATGGATTGGAAGACTCAGAACAGTGAAAATGTCAATTCTACCTAAAGTGACCTACAGATACTTGGCAATCTTGATGTAAATATCAACAACATTCTTTACTGAAATGGAAAAACTAATGACCAACTTCATATGGAAAGGAAAGAAAACTTAAATAGCCAAAGCACCACTGAAGAAAAAGAAGAAGCAGGACGCCTCACACTCCCCAATAACAAAACATACTATACAGCCACTGTAAACAAAACAGCCTGGTATTGGTTCAATGATAGACACGTGGACCAGGGGAACAGAATTGACAACGCAGAATTAAACCCAGCCATCTATGGACAACTGATTTTCTACAAGGGGTCAAAGTTCATTCAGTGGGGGCAGAAACAGTCTGTTTAATAAATGATGCTGGCAAAACTAGATATTCACCTGTAACAAAATGAAACAGGACCCATACCTCACACCATACACAAGAACTAAGTCAAAATGGGTCAAAATGGATCACAGACCTAAACGTTAAACCTAAACCATGAAATTCCTGGGAGAAAACTACAGGGCCTAATCTTTTATAAAAATATAGGATAATAACAACAAATGAATGAATAGAAGATGACAAAATACATGAATGGGACCTCATAAAAATTAAAAACTTATGCTTATCAAAAGACTTTATTAAAAGAGTAAATAGACAATCCATAGACTGGGAAAAAATCTTCAGAAATGACTTACCTGATATGAATCCAATCTCTAAAATCTATAGAAAACTTCAATAACTCAACAACAGAAAGACAACCCAATCATAAAATGAGCAAAGGACAAGAACAGAACCTTCACCAAAGAGGTCATCTCTTTGGTGACAAACATATGAAAAGATGTTTATGATCATTAGCCATTGTTGTTGCTGTTGTTAGGTGCCGTTGAGTCGGTTCCGACTCATAGAGACCTCACGTACAATAGAATGAAACACTGCCCGGCCCTGTGCCATGCCCATAATCTTTGTTATGCTTGAGTCCACTGTTGCAGCCACTGTGTCAATCCATCTCCTTGAGGGTCTTCTTCTTTTTCATTGACCATTAGCCATTAGAGAGATGCAAATCAAAACTACAATGAGATACCATCTTACCACTGGCTAAAATGGCACTGATTAAAAAAAAAAAAAAAAAAACAGATAACAAGAAATGTTGGCATGGACGTGGGGAAATTGGAAACCTTATCCATTGCTAGGGGGACTGTAACATGGTACAACTACTATGGAGAACAGTATGGTACTTTCTCAAAAAACTAGAAATAGAACTACCCTAGGCTTCCTACTCCTAGCAATCCCACTCCTAGGCTTCTAGGTATATACACTAGAGATTTAAAAATAATGACATGAACAGACATATGCACACCTATGTTCATTACTGCTTTATTCACAATAGCAAATATACGGAAACAACGGAAGGGCCCATTAATGGATGAATGGATATGCAAATTGTGGTACATACATTCAATGGAACACTACACAACCATAAAGAACAATGATGGGTCCACAAAACATATTATAACATGGATGGACCTGCAGGGCATAACGCTAAATGAAATAAGATACCTCTTTTATAAGAAGAAAAGAATAGATATATATAGAGAGACAAACGTTCATTGGTGATTACCAAGGAGAGGAGATGGGAAGGGGAAAGTATGCCTTAGATCATAGAGACATGTTATTTTTTTTGGTGATAGGAAAAGAGGCACCGAATGTGGATGTAGTGAGCACAGCACAACTACAGTAAAAACGAGTGTTTGAGCACATATAGATGGGTGTAGGCATACTGGTATACTGGTAGGTACAGGTGTATACATAGGTGAGAACAGAGAGAAGTTTCTATAAATCCATTGCTGTCGAGTTGATTCTGACTTATAGTGACTCTATAGGACAGAGTAGAACTGCCCCATAGGGTTTCCAAGGAGCGCTTGGTGGATTCGAACTGTCGACCTATTTGTAAGCAGTGGTAGCTCTTAACCACTATGCCACCAGAGTTTCCGAAGTATCTATAGGTACGTGTAAATAGAAATATGTGGCTACCGGCACATATATTCACTGAAGACACACATATGGATATTCCACAGACATAGCCAAATACCTTCCAAGATTGGTTTTCTGGGTTTGAAAGCTTAGGGCCATAGTTTCATGGGACAACTAAGTCATCTGGTATAACACAGTTCACAGAAATCATGATCTGCATCCTAGTGAAGTGAGTAGCATCTGGGGTCTTAAAAGCTCACCGGCAGCCATCTAAGACAAAACTTTGGTTCTCTACTTGCCAGTAGCAAAACAGTAAGTAGGTAACCAAAAGCTCTGAGAAAAAACAAGTAAATACAAGCCACAACCTCATCTTCCCGAGACCAGAACTAGATGGTGCCCAGCTACCACCATGACCATTCTGACCAGGGTCACAATAGATGGTCCCGGATAGAATGGGAGAAAAATGTGGAACAGAACTCAAATTCTTATTTAAAAAAAATCCAGACAAACTGGCCCAGTAGAGAAGACTCCCTGAGACTCTTGCCCTGAGTCATTCTTTAACCACAGAACCAAGCCTATCCCCTGAGATCATCCTTTATCAAAATAAGCAGAGTGGCACACAAAATAAAGGCTATTACCCATTAGATCAGTGCTTTACCTAAAAACCATCAGTATGAGACCAAAATGTCAATAATTACTCAAAAGCAAAAATGAGAAGACAAGAGGGCAGGGAAACTAGAGTACTGGGAATAGAGCAAATGGAACACAAAGAGAATATTGACACACTGTGATAAATGTAAATAATGTCACTGAACAATTTGTGCAGAAATTGTCAAAAAGGAACCTAACTTGCTGTGTAAACATTTACCAAAAACTCAATAAAATTCAAAAAATAACAAAGAAAGAAAGAACACAGAAAAATCATACATTCCCTTCACCGAGTTTCATTCAATAGTGGTATCTTGCAAAACTATAGTTAAGCATCACAACCAGGATACAGACATGGACATAACCCACCAATCTTATGCAAACATTCAGATTTTCCCAGTTTTACTTGTACTAACCTGTGTGTATATTTAGTTCCAGGCAATTCTATCACATCTGTAGGTTTGTGTAGTCATTGCCACAGTGAAGAGTCAGAACAATTCCATCACCGCAATGATCTCTTTTATATATCTCCAAAGCCAGGGAACATTTCTCGTTGAGTGGTCCAGGGGAATATTTGTAATTGAGGTACTATAAAAAGAGTGACAGAGAAAAATAGTCACATCCTGAGCTTACAAACCAGTGATTATTATGCATTCACAGGAAGTGGAATTAAATACTTCATTATTTGCCCCCTTCAATTCATTTGACAGCTTTTTTGGGAGGATTGTGTTAGACACTGAAAAAAAAGTTCTTAAGACACATGGTCCTTGAAGGAGAGAGGTATAAACAACCAATGGTACTTTAATAAATATTATAATAGAGAAATGTACAAAGAATCTTTAGAAGAAAAATATCCAGTCAACTAGGATTTGCAGTGCTGGTCAATATGCCAAGCGCTAGAGAAACACAGATGTATTAGAATACATCCATCCAAAGTTTCTCCAGAAGAGATCATTTTTTTTCCTCCACTCTTTCAGTTCTTCTCACCAAAATAAAATCAGACCAGATATACACAAACAGAGAAATG